GGACGACAACGGACGCCGACACCCGTTGTCGACGTGTAGCCGTATGGATATTTCTCACGTGTCCTGACGGGTTCAGATTTGAATCGAACACGCCCATATGGTCATGAAGTTGTACCCGCAGTCGATATGCACCCTGTAGAACGTCGCATGTGGTTCGTAGGCGATGCGACGGTGANGGCCGGGTGGGGGGGCGCGGCCGGGTGGCTGGAGCAGAAGGGACGACTTTGTCGGAACGTCAAACAGCGCCCTCCGTGTCCAGGGTCGGACGACAACGGACGCCGACACCCGTTGTCGACGTGTAGCCGTATGGATATTTCTCACGTGTCCTGACGGGTTCAGATTTGAATCGAACACGCCCATATGGTCATGAAGTTGTACCCGCAGTCGATATGCACCCTGTAGAACGTCGCATGTGGTTCGTAGGCGATGCGACGGTGATTTTAGGGCGTGCCAGTGTTGGTAAACTCGTGGCTTCTGGGGAAAAGATGTTTTATTGTTGAGACCTTGGACCAGGAGAACTGGTCAAAAGGTGAAGTGAGCAAGGGTGGGGAGCACCACAGCACCGCAGCCACCACCCGTGTCGCTCGACCAACGCACAAAAGCAGAACACAATGATATCGAAACACAAAAGACTGAACAGACAGGGGCTAACGTACATCACAACGTACCATATCCTCTGACTGATGCACTATCCAACAAAAACACACTCGGGATAATGCACCATCCACGAAGAACATTCCCACAGAACGTTCCTTGCTGTTCTGATAATATGTGGCTACTCAACGATCTTCAACGCAGACAGTCCCGCAATGCAAACTGTCCAATCAAGTTGTTCTACGTTACTCTGTCGACACCAGCAGCAACTATCACGAACAGCCAGCACGGGGGGGGCGGGTTGCACAGGTTTTGAACCCAACCCGGGGATGTCATCGTTTTGTCCCCGGGTGACCTGTGTGTGTGTGTGTGTTCTTGCGATAGATGTTTTTCACATGCTTACAGGTTCCCTCAGAAGCACTGGTCGCGGGGGTGCAAAGGTATTTTGAAACTACAATTGTTTTCGTCGTTAATTCTTACCGTAGCGGCAAGCCTAAAATCAGGGGAAAAGTATCCTTACTTGACCTTTCATATATCATCAGGTGTGCTCCAATTGGCGTGGAATTGTGCGTACAGTCGAACCATACCCTGTAGGACGTCGTGTGGTTCGTACCCTATTTGATGATGACGTTCGTGCGTTCCAGTACCGGGGGGGGGAGGGATGCACGGGTTTAGACCGAAAACCCGGGGACGCGGTCGTTCTGTCCCCGGGGTGGCTTTAATTTTTTTGTTCTGAATATGTTTCTCTCTCATGTTTGAAGGTCCCTTCCAAAGGTTGTGTCGTGGGGATGAATGAGTATTCCTCAATGGTGGATACAGTTTGGCGGTGTTCGGCGTGAATTCTTACCGTTAGCGGCATGCTAAATCAGGAAGAAGTACCCGTATTTGACCAAGCACCATTTTACGTAGACAACTCATTTCGCCGTGAGTTTTTTTCTCGAGTCGTCTACTGACTGGAATAACACATTCATGCATCAAATTGGTTGATCTGCCGCGTTTCGAACGCACAGAGCACGCAATACAGGTCACGGAGGGAAAAACCCATCCCTACCTATAGTACCGGACGTATCCCCCTACGCCGACTGATGGTTTAGTACCTTAATCAACTCAGATTCGAACAACTCTGGTACCTGCGCTTCCGATACTGTCTCATGAGAGCAGCCAAAAAATTTCAAGCCCAATTTCGTGGAAACGACAGAACGAGACTCGAACGGACGAAAGTGAGCTTTTCGTGTTTTTTTTTTTGACTGGCCCAGCTTGTAGCATTTTGCCCCTTCCAGAGCTCAGGCGCACGGGATGCAACCAAAGCAGGCCTTCGACGCCTTGCCCCAAACGCCCCCACGACGCCATGCTCTATGTCAACTGCCGACCCAGGAGAAGTCTACAGTGAAACACAACACGTGGTGGGCAGAACTGGACTATATTACGTCCGATGGGGGCCGGTCGACCTGGTGGTTCCCTCGGCGACCTCAAATCCTACGGGGAAGTTAGGACATGAGATCGATTCTCGGTGCAGTCACACCAACTGGGAGCTGTCGCACGCCATGCGCCATCCGACGGGGGGTCCGAGAGAACAAGCAGGAAAGATTTCGTGGTTGACACTCTTCGACTTCATCATGGGTCGTTCGGCAGGAAATCATGGGTCGTTCGGCAGGAAAATATCAGTTGAATTCTCCTCGCGACAAACGTCAGTCCAATCATGCGAGAAAGAAGGCGGAGGTAAAAAAAAAAAATCACACCACTGTGTGGCAATGCATCCTCCCTTGCGGCCCTGGTAAGTGCGCCCGTACACGAAGGCACTATGGTGACAAACTACTCACTGTGCCATTTGGTATGGCCTTCCTTCCATGGGCAACTAATGTTCACGAACCCAACACAAGACCGGTTACGGCAACAACAGAGAGGCAAGGCCACTTCAACATGGTGCGTGTCAACCCTCCCCACACAAGCAACACACGCGCACACATGCGCACCTTCACAGCGACAAACATGAAACAGAATGAAGTACTAACCTGCCCCGACCGGCAATAGATAGTGCGGAAAGATTCGGGTCTTGCGGTGAAAAGACGCCGCTTGTCGCAACCAAAAGGGGTGCATATTCTACAAAATAAACATCCACCAAACGTGCTTACAGCGCAAAGCCTTATCCCACGTCATTTTAACATCCCCGGATAAATTAACTCCGACACGGCAACATCAGTGGCAAGCCAATGCCAACTTCTCCGGAAGATGCAGGTCTCATGAGGTGCACGGCACAGCAGGTGGGCCGATACCGTGCTACTACTACAGCCACAACTACACCTATATGAGGTGACGCCTACACCACCGTACATGAAACGGCAAACGCCTCCCTCCAACAACGATAGAGCGAGTTAGACGTCCCCGCTTTCCTACTACAGGAGGCTGTTCTACCGCTACGCATGTATGTACAACTACCATGCCCTCCTTGCAACCAAAACCCCGAGCAAGAAGCCAAAAAAGCTAACAAGAGTTGCCTCTTCATGCCGAGCGGGACCCCTACGTCCTGATCAAATTCCAGCGTTGAACCCCATCACACGCGTTGCGCGCTAAGATGCACAAAATCACAAAACATACGACTGAAGCGTACCCCACGCCTATGCCCAAAGCAAAAGCAGCCAACCGCCCCTTCCAAAGATCAATATATCGCGCGACCGTAAGAGAGCTCCTAACCGAAGAGATCACCCACCACGAATCTTGGATATATCTACTGTGCAGGCTGCAAGCACCAAGATGTTCACGCCGTCAACTCGCCAAAAATAAACAGCAGCCACGCGTCCATAGAATATCAGCGACAGCCTCGAAGACGAGAAGGGAGAGTCTCGTCCTGGCATAATAACGCCAGTTGGTAAACCGCAGCAACAAGAAGTAGGGCAGCAACGTTGCTCGCCATAATCTTTCCCTCCAGGCGGCTCAAAAAGCGAGTGCGCCGATTTGTCCTCTCCTCAAGGCCCGTCCTCGAGAACCACCCCCCAGCCAGAACCATGCTCAACTCGGTGCAAGTCCCTCCTATTCAACACCCTCACCGCTCCCCGTATCAGACCAGAGATCACAACAGCCCGAGCGCGGAAGCGCCGAGGGCCCCGACCGCCAACGCCCCTCCCCACGCGGCAGCCGCAACAACAACGCCGCCGACGCCGACGCCGACGCCGCCGCCCTTCCTCGCCATGATCGAAGCCGCCCCAGCGGCCTCAGCATCCACATCGGCGTCGTCCCCGTCCGCCGTGTCTTCGTCGTCCCCGTCCGTAACGCCTTCCTCGGAGAACGACGGCACCGGGGTCTCGTCCAAGTTGTCGGTGGCGTCCGTGGCGGCCGGAGAGGGCGCTAGGGTGCCGTCGGTGGTGGCGCCGGGGGTGACGCCGGGGGTGACGCCGGGGGTGGCGGCCGCTGAAGGGGACGGGGTCTGCACGGCAGGGGGAGGGGGGGGTCTGAATGAACTCAGAGAGAGAGAGCGACCACTAGCACTGACCATATACAGTAGTTGGTGGGGGGCGTCAGAAACCCAGGGGCGGAGCATGGTGGAAAGAGAGAGAGAAAGAGGAACAGAACAGGGAAAACAGGGTACCGAAAATGCGCAATTCAGGGCACCTGCGTGAGACAGCCTCCTCAAAAATTCCTTCTATCCTGGCGTTGCTAACTATCGCACCCCGGTGCCATAGTCCCGAGACGGGCGAATCCACCGTGCCCGGTTCGGAAATATCAGTAAACCATTTCGCCCTACCTAGCTTTGTCCAACGCCCCCCCCCCCGCGAAGCGGCGGGTGCGATATTGAAAAGTACAGAGCACGGCACATCACGATAATGCCCGGGTGTGTTTCTTTTCATGCTGTGGGCCTCTATCTGATGCGTAATCTGTGTAGGTGCCTTGCTGGCCGTGTGTCTGGCGCAAGGGTCAAACTAATGGCTGTTTGTTGTGCGCGACAGCTTGGTTGACAGGGAACAGGTGGTGACCGGCGATAGGGTCGAGTGCGCGTTACTTGATGGCGTGTGCCAACGACTGATGATGTTTTTTTTGTTCCACATGGCATCGGTGTAGTCTTCCAGATAGTGCGTTGGTTTGTGTGCTCCCGTCCGCCAGTGCTGTCTCTGTACCGGTAGGACGAAATGGGTTTCTATTGCTATCGCGAGTTTGTCGACTGCAAGATGTGTCTGCCATGCTTGGTTGAGTGCGTACGGCGCAACGACTACGGAAACCGTCGCAAACGAAATCACTTGCCCTTTCCTCCGCGTGCACCGCGACGGCGTGACACATTGGCAACCCGATGATACACTACATTGAAATAAGCGTACCAACCGCGAAGTGCGCAGCTCTGAATTGCGTGGCCCTGAGCCACTTGGCGACTGTTCCGCCGGCGTATTACCAAACCCGGTTGGCACACAAGAACGAAAAACGAAAGACAATATCTCACCTCGGAAAGAGCAATCTGGGTGCCCCCCATGGAGGGTTCAGCAGTCTCGGACATGGGCGGGAGCGTCGTCGATTCCCCCATAGGCGGAGAGGTTTCGTCCGCGGTGCGTGGCCTTTGCGTGTTCTCGTCGGGGATCACCTTTATCGTGGCATCAAACACAAGCACGAACGCGGACCGAAGAGAACAGGGGTGAGTTTGGATCGCCGCAATAGTTGGGATGTCCGGATCGATGCAGCATAGAGAGGCGGGGCACTGGTGACACGGCGGTACAGGCCTAACCAACCGAGACGCCATGGTATGTGTCGTACATAACCCGGAGAGGAAAAAGGTCGAATGCGCGATGAAAACGCCAGACTGGCAATGAAACGACACAAAATGTTCTGGGATGCTCTACTGGCCTCGAGACAATCATGGTCGTGGTGTACTTCAGCTGGAGAGAGACCATTTCCGCTTCACCTCGTTATGGAGAGAACCAGGCTCGGGCCGAGAAAGGCAACAAGGAAGCCGAAGGTTAGGCAAGCATGGGGAGCTTGCAACGATCAACAACAGCAACAACTAGCCGAGGGTAGTAGGTAAGCACGTGGAGAGCGACGACGCTGGATCGTACCACGAAGCCAACACATTTCTTTTTTGCCGATTGTGTGCTGATGTTTCTGCTGTCTTGACAAGGTAGACCTCTCGAAATCTCGGGAAAATATCAATACCCCAGGGGATAGAAACGCAATTCCATGGAGTCACCGACTACGGCAGCAGCCTTGCCCGCAACAACATGGAATGTACGAGGAAGCACGCAACATCCAGACACCGACACCCGATCACCACGCCAAACAAAAGGGTTTGTGGAAACTAAATCCACGTGGCTAGTAGGGGGGAAATCGAACGTCATGCAGGCACTCATGTGCAAGTATCATTGGGCAAACATAAAACGAAAATCGTCCCAAAAATGAGAGACCATTCTTCCATGAACAACGAGTTTTGACAGACTCAAAAAGTCAAGCATCCAGCCGGTTTTGCTTCCACTCGTTGCAAAATACAGAGACTTCAACACATCCCCTTGAAAATGTGGACGTATCTCGACCGGATCGGTAGTCTTCCTTGTTATGCATCCTTTCCAAAAGAGGTGTAGGAACTGCTACTATCGTACGGCTGTGTGCCCTCGCCCCGTACCGGTGAAGGAGTGTCGGGCGGTGCGCTGATGTCAGTGAACGTGCTGTACCGGTAGTCGTCATCGGGGAGGGTCGCAGACGTCGTAGTGGTGCCCACGATGGGGCCTGCAGAGAGAGAGAGAGACACACACACGTAGGTGGGGGCAAGGGCCGTCGTGGTCACAAACTGGTGCCATCAGTTGTGTGGGGAAACGTCATCGATCGTTTTTGTCTGCGCGAGGATATGCTCACGACGTTTCACAGCTTCCGCCAAATATGGACCCAAACGACCGCGACAGGTCTGCACGATTTTGACGCGTCTTCCATATCATTGGAAGATCCACCTTCCCGCCACTACGTCACAGACGAATTTTGTCAACTACTGCTGTCATACGAAGCCTATGGCACACAAGTGTTTACAGCAGTCTCGGTGCAATCAGGGAGGGCTCCCGGAGTCCATGCAGGGACGTACAAATAAAGTACCCCCCCCTCGCTCCGTGCCCCCCCCGGTGTTTGCCATCGGGGTTGGGTTTTCGTCGCTTGGCA